TCTTTGAAATAACTCGAGTCCAGTTTAGTATTAATTTCACTCGGTCTCTTGAACACTCTCCAGGAAGCACAATGTATTGTCATATTAAATGTGAAAGACACCCCCCCCCCCAAGGGCAGTGCTACTGACTGAAGTGTCTTTAGGACATTTCCAAAGGTAGAATAACATGTTCTTATTCACAGAATTGTAAATGAACTGATTTATCAATATCCTGCTCATAATGTGCCGAAACAACGTAGGGGGAGCTGCTGCTTTCTTTCCTCATCCTTACTATCGTCATTTTCCTCTACTTCTTTTGCATGTTTGTCACTCTCTTGTGAAGTGCTATTTCCGGGGTGCCTTGATAGTCGAAGCAGACTTTGTGCTGTTGAGGCTAGAGAGGTGAGCAGGGTAAGCCTGATTCCCCGTTTGGACTTCTCTGTTGACATCCACCCCTTGGCGCTCACATATGACCTTATGCAGTTGCGAGCGCTGTAAAACCTTACAAAAACAAAAAGATGAAAGAGGATTTAGATTTAAAAAAAATTGTACTGCTAAATTGGTGTCCGCTGCAACTTCATAATAGTCAAGTCTTAAGTCCTTTCTAGACTTTGCTATTAATGTTAAAAATGAAAGGACACATTCATGCGATTGTTGCTTACATAAGTTTTGAATAATATTTCAAATTCTTTACATTTTGCTCTTTTCTTGATTCACAGGATGGACTTTGAGGACTTTAAAGAGCAATTTGACCATGTCGTTATTTGTAACTTGTCACCGGACTCCCCCGTAGATTTTGAGAGGAAATGGTTCTCTGTGGAGCATCATGGACGATGGACAAGGCATTTCAACGCTGGAGGGAATCCTTCTTCTCCAAGTAAGACTACAGACTTGTGTATTATGAAACAACAATGACACAAGATAAATCATGATCTCACGCTTTTATTTGGGATACATTGTTGAAATGCTCGGAAGTTATTAGGTTATTTAAAAAAAAAGAATAATCTGATCTTTTGAATCAAGCTCACAAATAAGTATGTGCGTTGAAGATGGAAATAGCATTTTGAATTTCAGAGCTAAACTTCCCTTTTTGTTCTTTGCTCTTAGAAGTAGACTTACAAGTATGCATGCTGAAACAGCAAACCTCTTTGTCTATAGCATTGGATAGAGAGGGCACTGAGGACTTACGATTTTGGAAGAAGATTTGAAAAGACTTGAATGAAAGGTATGCTCTTCCACAGTCTGTGAATAATACTACAGTTCATGCAACATTGACTGCACTTTTCTTATGTAAAAATATAACAAATAAAGTCGCCTTCTCTTTTTTCTTCCCTAAGCACACTGGTCCAACCCACAATATATCTTGAAGCTTGATGACGCGGATGATGACTACAACAATGTGTGCAGTCTTGTTATTCAACTTATGCAGGTGGATCGAAGGAAAATCAAACGGAAGGGTATAAATTCAAGATTACTGTATATCGGCTTCAATGTGTACAAGGTAAGTTCAGTGTGCACGTCGATAACACTGTATTATTTCAAGTTGTTGCTTCCTTGAGTGTGTCAAATAGTCCCAAACCAGTCTACCTTTTATATTAAAATGTGAACCTCCGCCTACCAAGAATATTTTACCACTGCAAATAATAAACACAAAAGGAGAGGAGACTATCCTTAATTGTGACAAGAACTGTACAAGTGTTTCTGATGTGTTAAATGACTGCGTTTACCTATTTTATCAAGGTCCCTAAGTCCGGTGTGTGGTATATATGTTTTACTCTCTTTTTTTCTCGTATTTTAGTATAAAAGCTTAACAAAAAAATGTTGTTTCATTGAAGTGAAAACGGTTTGATGCTCAGGATTCTTGTCTCTTTATTTGTAATAGCTCTATCTGCCTCTCCGAGAATATGTGGGTTTTCTGAAGAGTTTGTTTTAGCAGCCTTTCTTTTTATCTTCTTTTCCACAATTTCATTTTTTCCTTTTGATCTGTTTCAGTACGAAAGAGGTTACTCTGTTCCATTGGGGAGAGATTTCTTTCAAACTCATTGGTCCGTCGCAACCTCTGGGCACAACCAGTATAGACAGTGCACCAAGCGCCTTACATTGGTGCCAGGAGAATATGTTGTTGTGCCGAGTACTTGGGCTGCAGAAGAAGAGGGAGACTTTTTTCTGAGGTTGTTTTTTGAGAAAGGAAATGTTGCGGAGTAAGTCATGTGGAATCTATTGTGTGTTCTGCAGTGGGCCCTATGGTGTGATCAGCTCTTTTTTTCAGCTAACTATAGTATGGAAGCCTGTAAAACTTGCAAACATTGCTTGTCTGAGCTCGTATAAGAACAAGAGATTGAAGACATGGGATGGCAGTTATTTTCAAAATTCTTTTGTGTTGATAGAATCATATTCAGTGTTTTTTTTCATTTATCAAGTGACAATTGGTCGCTTTTAAGCACAAGGGGGATATCCCGAAAAATGCTGTTTTGAGAAAATCGAAGGTAAAGTTTTTGCCCCCTTTTATTGAGAGTTTTCTCTTCACCCAAACAAATATGCACACCATTGAAACCAAACTTCTATAGGTAGAGCAATGCCCTTTTTTGGTGTAGGTCAAGTTTTCTGGAGACCCCCGAAATCTGGGTTAGCCCACTTGTCCTCAAAAGCGACCAATTCAAGTGTAAATTGGTCAACTTGATATTCAAAGGGAGAGTTGTTTAGACGATAGGAACGATTTCAAGGCAATTTTCGGAATTGCATTATTTTTTAAATATATGTCTAACAGGTATTTAGATCAGACATCAGAGGTCCCAAAGATCCTTGTACCAACTCCTGTTCCAGAGTGGAAAGAGCAAGAGGAAACCTTCAAGAAAGTTTTTCAAAAAATTTCTGGACGTGTAAGCCGTTTGGACTTAATCAGTAGCTTTGTCTTCCGTATTATTTGTGAGGGGAAGGATTGATTAATGTTTCAGGTAATTCAGTTTTCTTAAGTGGCATGAGCATCGTAAATTAACTCTTTTGATCGCGTATTTATATGAGCATATTGTTTTTACTGTTTCGTTTTAATTGAACTGAGAAGTATTGGAGTAGACAATATCATTGCTGCCATGTTATTACTTCCTGTAATTTTTTATCAACCTTCTGCTGAGCGGGAAAAAAACGAACATTTGCTTTAAAAAAACCGTACTTTTGATGATGATGTGTGCAGAGGGACTTATTGGACTTATATAATCTTTAAATGACAATGTTGCTTTCTTATAATATTATATTTGAGTTCCACACATTTAAAGAATAGTCGAACCTGTCCAGGATGATCACCATTGTCGAGGGAGAAAAATGGACATCTGAAGACAAGTCATCCTCTTAGACAGTGTCATTAACAATATAGAAAAATGCAAGGTAGTGGGGTGGTCATTTGTACATGTGATTGTTTGACTGTGTGGTCTATGTTTCAGAACATGGAAGTGAATCCTTTTGAGTTGATGGAGGCCTTAAAGGAAGAACTGAGAAACGGTAGGAATGTTTCGTATAGAGGTACAATAAATCTAGCACAGGCCTTTCCCCTCGGGCTTGGTCATACGTGTCTTTCAGAATGGTGTGTTTTGCTATTCTTGTTCGTAGATTTATATTGTTCAGCATTTTAACCCTGAGTCATTTGATTTTGTTTTCTATGCGTATTCCTGTTGGAACTTAGGTCTACATGGTAACTGTCAAATCATTCGTCAAACAAATCTACTTGAAGAATTTCTACTAAGAGCTAATTAAAGCCTTTACTTTTTATTTTAAGTGTACAATCATCTGACGCTGCTGTTCTTGAAATGACCTTAAACATAAAAGAAACAAATCCACTACTTTCCTGGTTCTTTCCAACGCTCTCTCTCTCTCTCTCTCTCTCTCTCTCTCTCTCTCTCTCTCTCTCTCTCTTTCTCTCTCTCGCCTTTGTACTAACTGAAAGTTA